GCTTAGGTATCTACAGCTTAAACCGGACGCGCTATATCGCTTGGACGCGAGACACCCCTGAAGGTATACGATAACCTTAATGAACTCTAGAAGGATAACCTATTTTGAAATTATGTGACTCGCTATATAACATATACGACAGAAAGAACTTTGCAGTTACCTAACTGCGAAACGTTCACTCAGTATATAACTACGGGAGAAACTTCGGCGTTTAATAACTGAAATCTTTTCTCTGTATGATAGCCGGATCTTTGCCATTTAATAACTGTGAAATAATTTCTCTGGTTGGTCTTAATATTGGTCGGAATCAACCATAATCTGCCTGAGTTTCTGACCATTTTGAAACGAACGGTCAATTTTTGTCACCTAGTCAACTACCTCTGAAATCATGAATGAACGGTTGCAAAGGCTTCGCCGTCTTGCTTATTCAGAAGAACTCTCTGCTACTGTATTACAAGCCATCGTATTATTGTTAAAAGCAGCCATGTTTAGTAAATAAGGAAATCCACTGTTGCTTATGTACGTTATGTCTACGTATACATCTTTAGTGTCCCTCTAAAGTACCGCCTGAATGGGGCAAGAAAAAATTCAAAGGTTCTCGGTTGCGACAGCTAGTATTCTCTGCCCTCCATTTGATATTTCCCCGTTTTCCCGTTTACTTTAGCTAGACATTCCTGACCTACCAGCTCTCGCATATTGTCGTATTCTTTTCTAAAGCTCTCGAAACACTTGCACAACAGGAATTATGTCTGGATACAGTTTGTATCTGTTCTCCAACTCCAACTGCCTGGAATTGTTTCGTGGTGAGGGAGCAATCTTTATTAACTGCTGTTTGTTTGTCGAGTTTTAGGGCTTGCGAGATGACAGGAGCTGGTTTAATGTGGTTGTGTGACGTTCCTGGTAAGCAACCAATCCATTTGCACCCGTGGTGGACTGCATGGGACAGCTGCCAGTTGCCTCAAGGGGGTGACTTGAACCATGATCTCTGCATTTGTTTTGCCCTTGCCGATTACTTTCAGTATAGGAACAACCCTCGCGGGAAAATTTTTCACTCCTTGACAAAATTCGCGCCTTACTCATGTCTCTGTGTGCGATCGATTTTCATACACAGCTTTTGATTGGAGATGCTTCTTTTCAGTCAGCTGGCAGTCATCCCATATGAACTGGGGCCTTTGGCTGGATGCAAAGGGGTTTGTGTTCTTACCTTCTTTACAGTAACCAGTTCTACGCTCGCCAAAACCGAGATATTCATAGGCAACATTTTCTCTTACATCGAGCCACTTTTTGTAGTCATGAAATACCATTTTGGGTGGGAACTGTTTGTTTCTACACGTAGAATCTTTATCTCTCTTGGTAACTCCACGTTTTGGTTTGTTGTCTTTAGAGATGTCGGGATGTAACACCAATAGATAATGTGGATTCGCAATCAAAGCTATTCCTTTATCTGTCGTGGATCTTGAGACCTTTGTAAAGCCTGGTTAAACGAAAGATTGATTAGACCCAAATGGCGAAAGTACGTTGCCCCGTATATATCCTCAAGCTGTGCTCCCTTGTAATAGCTCTCAGAAGAATCTAAATATGTCTGAATATCAGGCGAAGCCAGGAACATCTCGGCAGCCAGGAAGTTACTGTATTCGCTGATTTCGGATTTCGTTTTAGGAAGTTTCCCTTTAAAGGAGAGTTGTGGTTTCCTTACAATGAAGTCTCCGCGTGATGGGATGTCCGCTCCCTGCTTTCTCAAACACGTCAGCGGATTCGAAATTCTCTAACAGACGTTTTCGGTGACACGAGCCAGCCTGAAGACCCTATAGCCACTTCTAGCATTCGTATTTTTTTTTTTATAATTAACGATTTCGTTCTTCAAGCAATCTTTTGTCCAATAAATTAGACGCCGGTGATCGATACTTTCTTTTACAAAAATTTTACCATCTGACGATTCACTGTTTCTACCCGCTATCTCAAATTCTTGCACTAGTATTGCTATATTTCTCAGCATCTGATGGGGTTCAACTTCCTATACCTTGATTGTAACAAGAACTTGGAATTCCCGTTTTCTTAACTCGTTGTCGACCTTGCAACACATTTCACTTGGCATTCTACTGTGGTACGCCCTTACTTCATTTAGCTAGCCTTTATAAACCCCTTGACGAGGCTGTAGAAGTCGACCTTAAAATCCATGTAAACGATAGCGTAGTCATCCTGTGTCATCAATCAATCAATCAATCAATCATTCAATCAATCAATCAATCAATCAATCAATCAATCAACACTTTATTTAAACATGTTGCACCTAAGAG